CCTTTCATCTAATTTCATTAATGACATTAGTGTCAATTTCAACATAAAGATAAAACATATTTTAAAATCATAGGACCAAATTAAAATTTTAAAAATAGTTAAATTAAATTAAATCCTAAAAATATAATTTAGTCAATAATATTATAATAAATACTTAAAAATCGTAAATATATTTAAAATAATGAGTGTTGATTATCATTTATAATATAAAGATATTTTTTATACATATAAAATATATATATATATATATATTAGTTTTCTCTCTCTAGTGATTAAAATCCTCGATGACTCATCTTCATTATTTTTTAAATTTTATTTTTTCTGCACTCTTAACTTCAATATTTTTTAAATCCTAATTTTTCACTGGGTCTTCAATATTGTATGTATTAGATATGAGGTTTTGAATTTTTTGAAGACAATATTTTCAAAAATATAACTTGCTGATTTCATGATAAATTATTAATTAGAAACAAATAATTTTTTTTATCATTATTGTTTTAATATATTTTTACTTTTTTATAAATTATTTTATGAAAATATATTTTTATTTTTATATAAATTACTTTCTGAAAGTATATTTTAACTAAGATGAATGCTAAAACATACTTAAAAAAAACTTAAATGTAAACATTAATGTAAAGTATATTTGCATGCAAAGGCATTCAAAATTTTATTTGCATGATTTTACAATGTAAAATGGGAACGTAATATGAAAAGGAACTTTCAATTATTGGTCATACTTTACAATTTTGTTCACAAAATAGGTAATTTGTTTAAACAAGATGAAATCGCTTGAACACTTACACACTCAAGCTTTACAATCAACACATACAAGAACTCTTTTCAATGAGTTTTAATTGATTTCAAGGGCATAGAAAAGATTTTGTAAATAATAAAAAAGTCAAGGCCCATATTCACGAGAAACTCAAGGCCCATTGGTTCCAAATAATCAAAAAGATTTTTGTAAAAATATCTGAATACTGAACTTGAGAAGCCATTTGTTGGCATACTTCGCTCCACACAGGCTTCTCTCTCAACCCCTCAAAAACAACAACGATGTTCGTTATTTGATAATACTACTTACGACACAACAAAGATTATCCCTGCTTTCTCGGTTTCAGCAAAACCCCTTCAAAACCTTCACAATGAAAATCTGAACGAAGCTTTAGATTTGGAACTCACACATGGCTTCTTCTCTCCTCCCAGGGCCCCACATTCCCACACCCCTCATCTCCAAACTCCACTCTTCCCCCAGAACATGGAGCCTCTTCATCCTCACATACCCTTTGCACCACAAAATCAAAAAACAAAATCTTTTACTCTTCCCCATCAATGCAGTGTACACCCCCAACCTCTACACCCCTTCTCCACCCTCCAAAACGGAGCCCCACATCGACCCCATCTCCCTCCTGAACGAGCGTATTCGCCGCGACTACAGCAAGAAGGAAGCTTTCAGAACGGTGATGGACTCGGAGGAGGCGGGGAAGTACATGAAGATGGTGAAGGAGCAGCAGCAGAGAGGGTTGCAGAAGCTCAAGGGCGATAGGGGGAGCAAAGATGGTGTCTTTAGCTACAAAGTGGACCCTTACACGCTTCGCTCTGGGGACCACGTTGTGCATAGGAAAGTGGGTGTTGGCAGGTTTGTGGGGATCAGGTTTGATGTGGCTAAGAACTCTTCGCAGCCCACTGAGTATGTGTTCATCGAGTATGCTGATGGCATGGCCAAGCTACCTGTCAACCAGGCTTCTAAAATGCTCTATAGATATAGTCTGTGAGTTCCTTTGCTGCTTAACGGCTTTGTTGTTTGTTGAATTTAATGTGGAGGCTTCCTGTTTTTCTCTCTCAGAAGTGCTTTTGGAAAAAACTTATCCAAACAGACTCATAAGTTTCTCCAAAGCTAGCTTATGCATAAGTTAAAAATATGATATTGGAGAAGCTAATAGGAGAACTTTTACAAACTAGCTTATGCATAAGCTAATTTTAGCTTATAGAAAAACTTATTTTATTTTTCCTTCCTATTTTTTTTATCTTAGAAGTACTTTTGGAGAAGTTTACTCTAACAAGCTCTTTATCCAAAAAGGGTCTTAGTTGCTTTGGTGAATAAACGTTGTGTTAAATGTGGGGTGTATGTGCGTGCATGCATTTGTAGGCCAAATGAAACTAAGAAGCCTAGGACATTGAGCAAGCTGAGTGATACCAGTGCGTGGGAGAGAAGAAAGGTTAAAGGGAAGGTTGCGATACAGAAGATGGTTGTGGACCTTATGGAACTCTATCTACATAGGCTCAAACAAAGAAGGCCTCCCTATCCGAAGACTCCTGCAATGGCCAAATTTGAGGCTCAGTTTCCTTATGAACCCACACCGGATCAGAAAAAGGTGACATTTTAGTAAATGTTGGGTGTAATGGTGGAAGGGGGACTAATTGATTGTAATTTTATGTTACAATTTTTAAATTTGTTATGAGTGCCAATACCTCTTTTTGGTTGTTTAGGAATCAAAACCCATATGTTGAATTTTCTTTTTCTTTGAATATTATTTGTTTATGTAATGCTTATTCAGTTATTTCATCTTTTCTGAATGCACGTTCTTGCAGGCTTTTATTGATGTTGAGAGGGATTTGACAGAGAGAGAAACTCCAATGGACAGATTAATTTGTGGAGATGTTGGTTTTGGTAAAACTGAGGTTGCACTACGTGCTATCTTCTGTGTTGTCTCAGCTAAAAAGCAAGCAATGGTTCTGGCACCAACAATAGTTCTAGCAAAACAACATTTTGATGTTATTTCAGAGCGCTTTTCTGTATATCCTGATATTAAGGTTGGACAGCTAAGCAGGTTTCAGGTACGACCATGAGTAATTTTTCCAGTTCAGTCATAGTTAAATTCATCTAGTTGCTAGTGTAACACAGTTAGAAGAAGAGATTTCACTAATCTAGTTAAACTTATTTGATAGTCAAATAATACCTTCTCTTTGTTAGTAAGTCCACTCTAATGATAATTCACTTGAATCAGCATCAAAATATTTCTTGAACTATCCCATAAATTATAATCATGATCTGAGGTTTGAGCTGAATAGACGGCAGTTTCTGGGTAGAGTAACATTTCTTGGCACTAACTACACAATTGCCATTTATTGGATAAACTTGATATCATTATAGTATCTACCTTGTGTGAAATGCCAGATCTAGAATCACATTGGTAGTTTCTGACCTTATCCACTTCTAGCTTATTGCACGTGCATGCTATCCTGTTTTACTATTATGATGATTAGTTTAGTCATTCAGATATACATTAAATTGAGTGGTGCATAGTATATGGTGAATGGTTCTATAAAGTGGAAGCATATGGAAATTGTAGGAACTTGAAATTTGGAAATTTATTGGTCAATCAAGCATGAGCTGCATATATTAATAGAAGTTTCATATCAATTACGGACTATTTCACTCATCTCAATCTGCAGACCAAAGCAGAGAAAGAAGAGCACTTGGACATGATTAAGAATGGTAGCCTGGATATTATTGTTGGGACTCATTCACTCCTAGGAGACCGTGTTGCATATAACAATCTTGGTCTGCTTGTGGTTGACGAGGAGCAGGTTTACCATTTATCTGGAATAAATATTTTCCTTTTTCTTAACTACTGTGGCACTCCCCCCGCCCTTCTTACTGAGTAGCAATTTATTGCATTGCAGAGGTTTGGTGTCAAGCAGAAGGAGAAGATTGCTTCTTTTAAAACTTCTGTGGATGTACTTACTTTATCCGCAACCCCTATACCACGAACTCTTTATTTGGCATTAACAGGGTTTCGTGATGCTAGGTAACAAGCCTTTCACAAATTATGAGGGAAGATTTATCGACTATGGTTAACATGGTCTTGGTATTAGACATCAGGTGCATGTTCTGTAAATGTGTGTGTGTGTGTGTGTGTGTGTGAGAGAGAGAGAGAGAGAGAG